AGCATATTTACATAATAAGGCTTTTTTATTACAGTTATGAGCTAAGAAGCAATGGCATTCGGTTGAAGGTAAAAGGAGTGATTTTGGTATGATTCAGTGCTTAAAAATCTGTTTACCATATGAATAAAATGTCAGGACAGTCTTTTTGTTTGCTTAAGATCAGGATGAAACTTCCCATGATTTAAACTTCCTGAATTTCCTATATTGGATTTATGAGTTATGTAAGTTACCTCTGTTTACATAATGGGTTTAAAATAAAAAATTGTATGTATAAACTTAAGTTTATATATATGCATAATGAAACAATATGATAACTAAATGAAATGATAGTAATGGATGTCTTTTTAAAGGTTTTCATTTCATTAAACTCTTACAAAGCTACGATTATAAAGATTTAATGTATTAACTAAATTCTAATTTCTCAATCCTTATCTAACTTAAAGACCTTAGAGAAATGATTCAGTTACTAAGTTTTGAAAGCCTGGAAAATTTCCAAGTAAAACAAGGACAGAAAATACTTACTAAGAAGCATAATTTCTACTCTTACTGTTTTAAATTGCAATAGATTAACAACAAAATATGTAATTGTTTTTGGATGATATCTATCTCATTCAAATTATACAAATAGAAATAAATATGTATGTATATATATGTATGTGTATCCTTCCACTTCATTTGTTAAAAAGATATGTTTATGGAGAAAATATAGCAAAAAACTTCTTGATTTTTTTTGTCCTCTAGTTCTTTTTTGTGTCTGGAAAATGAAGTTGGTTATTTTGATTAAAGATGATTTTAATATAAGTGGTTAATTATATAAGATATAATAGAAAAATACAAATATATATAAAAGAAAATATATATGATTTTCTGCTTAAGAAATTTCTAACATTTTATTCATAGGACAAATTTAATGTGATATATACATTGTTTAAAAGACTGATAAGTTAATTATATTTTAAAGCTATAGGTAAAAGTTAAATTACTACCTATTTAATATCTGTTTATGCTTAAATATATACAAATAAAAGTACAATAACAAATCCTCTACTCCAAATTATTACATAAATAATGTAAAACAAAGTTAAAATAAATGCCTGGGATATTTTATGCTTAGATTGTAGAGTTTACTTTTGTAACTTAATTATTCTGTTAAAATCTTAGTGCTTTTTTTACACACTAATCAGTTTTTTTAATTCCTTGTTTTTTTCTTGATGTAATTCTTGATCACAGTTGTTATTTATTGTGTTTTTACAATGTTCTCTAAAATTATGTCTGACTTTAGGTAATTATGATTTATATCTTGTCTTCTGTAGTTATCAGTCTTTATTGTGCCCTTCTAAAATTCAAAATAATAATTTTTTCTTTTACCCTACAAAATAAAGGGAAATAGGAAAAATTATGTTTGCTAAAATTCTTCAGGTTTTAATTAATTCAAAACTATGAGAGGCTTTGTCCTCCAACCTTGGTATTTTTTAAAAAAGAAACCCTACACAACCTGAGAAATCCAAAACAGCTTTGATCTCCCTAGGTGAATTGTACATAAGTAGAATGTATTAGTGGAAATATCTTTATTATTATTTTTTTTGCTTGAGGAAGATTGCCCCTGAGCTAACATCTGTGCCAATCCTCGTCCATTTTATATGTGGGATGCTGCCATAGCATGGCTTGATGTGAGGCGTGTAGGTCTGTGCCCAGGCTCTGAACCTGCGAGCCCCAGGCCACCGAAGTGGAGCACGCAAACTCAACCACTATGCCACCGGGCTGGCCTCAGTAGAAATATCTTTTAATGATCGTTTAATTTTCAAGTTAAAAGAAGCATGCTCATGTTTAAGCATACGGTCTATCAAATGTTTAAGCATGCTCATGTTTAAGATAACCTTCTATCAAACATTTTTTCTCCAGGATTCTAGATTCACAAATCCCTCTCACTTTTTGCACATGAAAATTCTGAACAAGTGGTAGGATTACCGACTCAATTGTGTGAGAATCTTTGGAAGCCTCATGCTTGTTTCAGTGTTTTGTTAGATCCAGTAACCAAGACATATCCACCTTATTTAAAATGCACAACAATAGCAAAATGCATGAAAACTTGCATTGATTTAGTTCTAGTGTCTCCACTACACTTAATGGTTTCTTATCCTATACAGACTCGTTTTTTATTACACTTTAAAAACTTTATCACGCTTTAGAAGACATAAAAATATAAAACATTTGCATTTTAAAAAAAAGTTGGAGAGTTTTAAAACTGGTTGCATTTTCAACATTTTCCTTTAGATATATTTCTCCAAGATTTAATAGACTGGAATCAGACCTCATACCAGATTTATCAATATTGCAAAAACAAACGATTAATTCTGTGAGAAAACAGTTGGATAGGCTGTATATTTACCGCTCCTAACACGCCCGGTTATGTCAAACCTTGGAGTCAGGCATCCACAGGTGAGCCAAGTTATGCTGCTATTTGACTGCTCCATCACCCACCCCTGTATCTTTGCACTAAACCCTGGAGAAGGTAACATACCAGCCCACCCAGAGATCTCTCAATGATAGAGCCTATGGATGCCGACTAGTGGCACCTGTCTCCGGAAGCTCTTGCTTCAGGCATCAAGGGGTAATGAAGCAAAAACCTGTCTGGTGGTGCCACAGCCGTACATCCTTGGGGCAGTTACAAGCGAACAGTTCACATAACCATCAGTAGTAACTTTTTTGGTTCTAAAAGATGTTCAGTACTCAAATGGTGATGATAACGTTAATCTCTTAACTTTTAAGTCCGAAAAACAAAATGAATGAAATCTTCAAAATATATATTTAAACTTATTGCTGTATTTGAGGTGCTACAATATAAAAAAGCATCCATGGGTCCATGGAATAATTTAAAGGCACACATTTTTTGTTTTTAAATATCTTTTTGTTTTTACTTTTTTAAATTTCTGTTTTGTCTGCTTTTTCTCCCCAAATCCCCCAGTACATAGTTGTATATTTTAGTTGTGGGTCCTTCTAGTTGTGGTATGTGGGACGCTGCCTCAACGTGACCTAACGAGCGGTGCCATGTCTGCGCCCAGGATCCAAACCAGCGAAACACTGGGCTGCCCAAGCGGAGTGCGCGAACTTAACCACTCAGCCAAGACTCATGCTTTTTACTAGAATGTGTCCATGCTTGTTGATGGAAAGAGCAACATTAGGACTTCCAGAAACAGTGAAATAATTCCTTACTGACCATCTGAATTCCCATCAGCCAGTTCTTACAGCTTTCCGTAGAAATTTGTTCAAAGGAAAGACATTGCATCTTTATTGTATAGGTACAGCAGTTTTAAAGGGACAAAATTTGAGTCAAGACAGATGAATTCTAATCAATGTAATCACCTAAGCACCACAGAAGATAATAAGAAGCACAATCATTAGAGGAGCACAAGTAGAAGCAGGCCATCACTATACTATCACTTGCGTACCACCAACCTAGACTCGAGCCAGCCTTCAGTGGGGAGCCTGCACTGGATTGGTTGAAGATGGCTCCTGTCCCTGCCCCAAAGTGCTTGGACAGCAGAGGAGAAATCTTAGTTACTTACCTTCAAAGGCTACCCATGAGGTCTGGACCAGGTGTTGGTTACTGCTCATACTCTAACACCTGAAGATACATAAATATTATCTCGTGAGGGTGCTTCATGTGGATGCAGAAACTCAGCTCTTTGAGAACTTTTCTCTCTACCTTTATAATTTGGTTCTTTAAGTTAACATAATCTTGATCCAATGGTAGAGGCACAAGTTCCCTTTTCTCCCTCAGGTATCGAAGGCAACGAAACCTGTTGATGTCATCCTGTATCTGCTTCTAGCTTCTTCTATTTTGGAGTCCAGGGGAACACAGGCCAGTAACACATGCTCTATGGAATGCTTTATAAAGGACTTGGTATAAAAGGACAACTGGAACAACACCTGTCCAGTAGCCGTGGCCACCTGCTTTCCCCTTCAAAGGTCTCCATCCATTATCGTGTCACTCTAAATCTAACCACCCTCCATTTTCACCTAAAGAAAGAGAACCCAGTAATTACTTACACCATTTTGGGAACTATCTATGACTAGTATGGATCTTCTAGATGAGCTAACTCTGGTTTTATATGGTTCATACTTAAAAAGAAAAGCTAAAAATTACGAAGCTGGGTATGCTCTAAGAAATTTGAATTTGCCCTTGAAATATAAGCTTCATCCACAAATTAAATATTTCCAGATGGCTAAATTAATTGCCTTCACCAAGACCTATTAGCTGACAAAGATAAAGAAGTAAATATTTATAGTGATAGTAGGTATGATTTTAGGTTAGTTCATGACTTTGAAATGCTTTATGAACAAACAGATGTCCTGACCAGTACAGGGTGGTGAATTAAAGACATCGAGGTTCTTTGCTCTTACCTGAAGTTATAAGAAGCCATAAAAGGAGTTTTGTAAAAATGCTGCATGATATCATCCACAAGAGCATGAGGGTATTACCAAGGATGTTTCTGATCTTGTCCCACCCGCTGATGACAGCCCCAACAAGACCATGGAGGTGGGACATGGACGCAGTTGAGGTTTTTCCCTCTGGACACTATGGCAGTAATGCCAGGGGGAAAATACTGTTTTATTTTGCATTCCTGACTTGAGGAATCCTAACTTATCTTTGCAGTAATGGGGACACATATTTCACTGGTACTATTATCAAGAACTTTATAAGCTTTATCTTTTATTCAGAAACTCCATTTTATCATCCACAAATCTCAGGGAAAATAAATAAATAATGATCATAGCTGTCAAAAACCCTCAAACTTCCAAGGCCTTATTCCCATTAGCCTTGATGGCAATAAGCTCAATCACTTTCAGGGTGCAGAAATTATCTCCTTCTGCGTTATTAACAGGCTGCCTCATAAGTTTATGAATTACTTCCAATTCTAAATTCTACTCTGTTATAAGCTGATATGAGTAATTATTGCAGGGGACTCATACAATACCTCTGATTTTATCACCAATAGGTGCGATTTCTAAAACAGCCACCAAAGCAGTTGCTGCCTGGTCTAAGACCTGGAGATATGGTCCTCTGAAAAAGGCATCAGAGAAAAACTGCCCTTGACTCTCAAGGAGAAAAGACTCTATCAAGTATTGTCAATGATTAACACAGTCAAACTCCAAGGTGTTGGTCTTTAGGCTTATGTTGCTTGACTTAAAAGACGTAAGTCACTTCCTCCTGTCTACTGGACTTCCTCTGTATCAAGAGACCTGAAACTGATGGTTCTTAGGAATTCTCCAGATGTGGTTGAGTACAGAAACAGATGGGTTTCACCCAAGATGTCAGAATAAGATAAAATTTTCTGATTCTTCAGCACCCTTTTCCTTTTCCTTCTCTACTACTAATCAAATCATGCCGGTGTTGTCCACCGACACCCTCTCAATGTGATCTTACTCATCTTTCTCCTTTTCCTTTCGACCACTTCTCCCTCCTGCCATGATCTTCTGCCACGTAAGAAAAAAACAAAGCTTTCTGGCTTATCTTTCTCAGACCATAGCTTCTGGACACACATTTAATAACTTCCTTTAAACACTCAAGGTAAATTTTCTTCTGCAGATCTTTCTGGCACATAAGTTTCTCTCATGTAACAGATCCAAAATTTAGTCTTATAAAAATTGAACCTTAACCCATGTCAAAAAAATGCTTCTGCTGAAACCATTACAACCATCTCAGAGAATCCTAGCCCTGTGGGGACTAATGCTGGACTCTGTTTGTTCTAAAAGTCAGATACACTCCAGGCTGCTTTGCAGGAACTGTTTAATTCCTTGAGGGATAAAATATCAGGTCAATATTATTGCAAAATAATACTTACAATCCCAATACAGTTCATGCTTCGCTAGGATCTGCTGCTTACGTGGCCATCAGGCTTATCTTGAATACAAGGATAACTTAGTGTGTAGCATTGGCCACATACTAATCCTGCATATGCAGGATAATTATTAGAGACTTTCAGATATTTAAAACCACTACCCTTCCAGTGTATCATATTTTTCTGAACAAAAAATATGCAGAAACCTCCAGAGAGAGGCAAGCAGAGTCTACTTGGGAGAATTCCAAGAGGGATAGCTGACACTTGCATGCACACTATGTGAGAGGCAACTCCTATGGTAGAGATAATGCAAGTGGAAAAGTTGCAATAGATCCAGAACTTATCTCTGACCCTATCAGATGTCATGAATTGCACAATTTCTTCTCTGTAAGCCCAACAAACCAGTTAAATTTATTAGGCAGAGTCATGGATAATCAGAAAGATGTTAATTTTCTCTTAATGAGCCAAGGGGGAGTTTGTACAATAGCAAACACTTCTTGCTGAGCCTACATACACCAAGCAAGTAAAACAGCCTGTTACTAGACTCAAAAAAGAGAGGAACCCAGCTCTCCACCATTGACCCTACTGCCTTCTAAGATGTGTTTTCTTGCCTCGGTTTGGTGATTTAGGTCCCTGTCTGCAAGCCTGTTACAAGGACTGATAACCATTTTTGTTTCTGAACTGCCTGCAGTGCAGTTGACTGATATATCCCATCCAGAGTTTTAAATGGTATTGGGCAACCATTGCCATGTCAGATGATGCAACAACTCATCCTGCAACTAAAATGTTTTTATTTATAGAAGCCTCATGTGATTCTGATGCAGAGATCAGGTAGGGAACCCCTTGGCCCTGCCTGTGGGACTGAGGTGAGGATCTGGATTTCATTACAACTTGGCAGCATGTGGACCTTGTAAAATCTTCACCCGTTATCTTCTTGGACCCTAGGGTAGTGCTTTAGGGTTAGGTGGGACCCCTAAGGCTCAGAGAGATCATCTGCTCAAAATCAGAGTGGGTGGTACATCGTAGCAAAAATTATAAGAACTAACCTGTTCTGAGCACTCACTATGCTGAGCACTATTCTGAACCCTTTGTGATTTTAACCTCACGACAACCCAGAGGCAGGTACTATCACTAGCATTGTTTACCAAGGGGAAGACTGAGCTACAGAGACACCCAGGAAACCTGTCGCAGGTCGCTGAGCTAGGAGAGGGTACGGAGCCTCGAACCAGGCCTTCTGGTCCAGGGTCCACGCTCTTTCACATTACGGTCTGGGTGTTAGTGAGAACCTGGCTCTTCCCGCTCCTTCCAAGTACAGAGCTTTCAGCCTGGCTTACACACCCCTCCTCTTGAATTCTTCTCTTGGGAAGAAGCAAGGCAAGGCGAGGGCAGTAAATGGCAAAGGAAACTGCCACGTCCAGCCATGGTAGAGGCTTCTCGAAAATGTGACATTTCTCCTTGATGCCAAGTTCTTTTTGGCACAAAGTTGTGGGATAAGAGCAAGGCTGAAGCCAAGGGTGCCTTACAGGCCCGACTTGTTCCCTGTTGTTACCTGAAGTTGCTCTGGGTGTAACCCAGTTTCTCACCTGCTTATCTACCTGCCCCCAGGGGAAGCTGGATGGCTCCTGGCTCAAGCCTTACCTGTTTCATTTCTTCTCCTCCCATGAAGTTGCATGGGGCTGATTCCTGTAGTATGTCAGCAGGAAGCCTGGTCCCCAGTGTTTTTTCAAGTTTCTGAGACCCTGAGCCCCCAGTGGAGGATGCACTGAGGATGCAGTGACTATTCATGTGCCATCAGCATCCTGACAACATATTTTTCTCTGCAAAAAGTGCTTTTTAAGAGAAAAAGCATAGCACGTATAACAAAAATCTAATCTCCATTCCCATCTCCTCCTTCCTTCCCCCCGAGTTGATTATGATCTCGAAGGTGGTGAGGACCACGGCACGGTATTTGAATACTTTTTTAAACAACCCTGTTTAAAAACTCTGTTCAATGAACAGTGTAACAACTTGTCTCCCATTTTATAGGCCTGTATCTCAATGGCCTCACAGTTATGTCCTCTCCAGGTCCACTTCCTCAGGATGTCCTACTTTTGTGTCTGGGTATTTTATCCCCACAGATCAGGTCCAGGAAACGGTAGAGAAAGCTTCCTTTGGATTGTGGTCCCCGATATTTACATAAGCATAGAGTTCATTTGGTTGGAAATTACTGATGGCCATGACTCTGGTGGCTCAAGGGCGCAGTGAGAGATAAGCCTGGGCCTGAGGCTGCCTGCTTCCTGGGAGGGGCCGCAGCCCAGGCTGATTGTGTGTAACACTGCATGTGCTGTAACAGGACGCATTTTGCTGAAGGAAACAGGCCCGAGAGCAGAGGCACTCTCTCAAGTTCTCACATGCTCCAAGCAAAACATGTCCCAGAACTTCTGGCTCCTGACACCTAGCCCAGTACTCCCTGCACTGACCTCAGACCCTTTTGATGTTGGGCTTAGGCAGGTCACAGCAGCATTTGTTTCTTTTTCCTTTTCCTCCAGGAAAGGGCAGTAGTTTATTGGTGGTTTCCTTGCTCTGCTTCACAGAAGCTCTAACTGCAGGCTTCTCTGGGCAGTCACCACTGGTCTGTATTCACCTGCCTCTGGGAGAAGGGCAGCGTCCTAAGTTCAGGCTCATCACACCAGGCACTAGAATTCAGCCCAAGATTATTGATCTCCCACAAAAGCGATGTGTTCAAGGAAGGTAGACCCTCCCCAGACCCAGGGGAAATAAAAGCGGCATTTTTGTTTGTTTTTGCCTTCTCTGTTGTGTGGCAAGAATATGATTCTTGAAGCAAACACAGGCATTTCTGGAGGGAAGTTCTGCCCACACTTTGGGGAGGACAGGCTGCAAGTGAGAACACCGTTTTCAGCCTCAAAGGCATCACCGGGCTGCTGAGCCAGCCCCAGCCTCAGCCCCAGGGCTGCCTTCATGCACCCCATGGGAGGCAGGTACATGGTGCCCTCTCTGTGCTGGGTCAGGATGCTGGCTTTCCTGTCCTTGTGCAGGACGTACCAGCTGGTACACTTGGCAGAGAGGCCAGAGCCCTCCTAGGCTTGAGGGGCGCAGAGGGAAGGAAAGGCGGCTTTTCCGGAGACTGTGCAACCTACTGTTAGCAGAGGCCCTTTTGAAATTACTTAGAGTTCAAGGTAATCGATTGTTATTTATGTTGTGCTGGCAATCAAAAGATTATTTATCCGCTCAGAGTCAATAAAACAGAGGAAGGGCAGGGAAGGTAGAAATTGGTAGGAGTCATGGAAAAATGCAGACATGGCTAAGCTTAGGCTGACATCTTGTGGCTGAGCCCAAAAAAGGCATTTCACTGAGAAATTGAGCAAGTGGGGCTCTGTGGGAGGGGAAGGCATGGGGTCTGAGAACAAGAAACTTGAACCTTTTAAATTTCACCCTCACTTTTTCTTCATTCCCGTCTTTTATTATATGTCAAATTTCTTCAATAGTCTGTTTCAGTACGGCTATGAGAAAAATAATTTTTTAACTATAATGACTACAGACACATTTCTGGCTAATAAAAAATTATTATTTTGACTAATTCTGCTTCAGATGAATAAGCCATTCATCTAATATCAATTGATGACTCATTTTTTTAGTGCTTAACTTAGTACAGTAGACTTGAGTGATTCATGTGATTTTCTAACTAGAAGTTAAAAGGTGTGCCTCACACATTACCTTCTTTATGGGTAGGACAGCAGACATGTCCCCATTTTACCTAGATGGAGGCCAAGTCATGCCTAAGAGCACACAGTCACCAAGGGGTAGATCCAGACTAGAATTCAGAGGTGGCGCTCCTGGTCATCACTGCCTTCTAATGTGTAGGACAAGCAAGGTCTCCACATTGTCCCATTTTACCTTTAAAACCACCCTGAAAGGTACCTATTGTTATACTTGCTTTACCAATGAGGAAGCAGAAATTGAGTCATGGAAGTTGGCTTGTGGGAATCTGAACCTCGGCCTATTTACTTCCCAAGTCCACCTTACCATCTGCCTCCACTTTTTGAGATAATCCACCCTCTAATTGTCCTTCTCGCCATGCCTTCCTCCCTATTTTACATATGCCTCTCCTATATACTGGGCTGCCAAGAAATTGTTAGCTTTTGTTGCTATGGTTCTCCTTGAAATATTAGTTGATAAAGAATTACTATTTCTTCCCAGGGACATTTGCATTGCAGTAGATAAGGAGCTCTTGCACACAGAAAGCCTTTGGGATGAAAAGAGAGCATTTCCGACTACAAGAAATACATGAGGCGAGGATATCTGGGGGCCGGATAAACAAAGATCTCCTTTAAATAACTTGCAAAGACAGTCCTGTCCTCAGCAGCCTG